GATTTGTAAGTGAAATATAATAATGTAAATTACTGTATTATAGAAGAGGAAAAGGAGACAAAAAGCATTATCGTTTTAATAAAGGCAGGAAATAAAAGCATTAGGAGATATTTACAGGACGATCTAGAGAAATTAACAAAAAGCAAAAGAGGAAATCACTATCATTTTGATGAGGAGTGGAAGACGGATGAGGATCAGTCGATGGTCGGTGAGAAGGTTAAGAAGTTAGTTTGTATTGACAAATGGTGGCGAGGCTCTAATGTAAGTAAATATTTTACTGGTGCTAAAAAAAAATAATGTTGATCAATTTTAAAATATTATTTATATATGTTTTTAATTTTTTACAATGTAAAAAATTGTATTATAAGATAAAACTAGGAACTGGAAACCAGTATGAGGCCGGAGCATAAAATTTAAATATATGATTTTTATATTTTATATTAAAGTACAGGTGATCTTTATTAATATCAATCTATTTGAATTAGTTTTAAATCATATTGGTAGTAATATTAATAGAAATTATATTAACATTAATATATATAAGGATATATAAATTTATAAAAATTTGTCTTGTTGTTTAGATTGATATTAATGAGATTGATATTAACAGAAATCACCTGTATTTAAAATTATATATAATTTTCAATTATACAAATTATACAAATTATACAAATTTTAGAATTAGTATAAAATTATTTTAAAAGTTTTTTAAACTAATCAAATTTTAAAATAACAAAATATAATTAAAAATATTTAAGTTTATATAATTTATTTCTATATATTATAAAAATTTTTTAATATAAATAATATTTTTAAACTTAATTTAATATAAGATTTTTTTTAAAATCCTATTAATATATAGTTATTATATTAATACTAATATAATTAATAATTTATTATATTTAAAAAAATATATATATTAGATATTATAATATAATAATTTGACTAATATTATTTATATTATCTTATACAGAATTAGATTAGTATTAAAATATAATTTAAACAAACTTGATAATAATTTTTTATATAATTTAGTTTGGAAGCTAATATTTATTATATAAATATAATACCTTTAGAGTCAGTTATTTAATACACTTACAAGTTTTAAAATAATCAAATATTTGATATTATAAGCTCTAAAATAACTAATAATATAAAGTTTATATATAATTACTTTAAAACTTGTAATTGTCAAATAACTGATTCTAGAGGAGGTTATATTTATATAATAAGTATTAACTTTCTTTGTATAATATATAATATATCTTCTCAAATCTAATAGTCATAGTGACAGCTTTAGTATTAGTTTTGAGAGGTTATCAAATTTAAGACACCAACCAATGGTTTACTGGTTATATAATTATAAATAAATATAATTGGCTAGATTATATTTGTTATATATCTACTTGGTTATACAAATCTCGATTTGAGTTAATCAAATTGATTTATATTACTCACAAACCCAATATTTTATAGGCATCTGATCATTTAAGTATCAGTTATCAGAAATGGTAGGTTATTAGGTTTAAAATTATAGAACAGACATAATAAAGCAATTTTTTATCAAGTATAACAGATTATCAGTTTTAACAGAATCAGTTTTGAAAAGGTAAACTGTAAATAATATCTAATTAATCAAAAAAATTTTTAATATATATAAGTAGATAAATTATACAAAATTATATTTTATATATAATAATATCTAAATACTATTTATATAGCAAAGAAGAAACTAATTACAGTCGATTCCCTCTAAATGCATCTTGTTGGAACCAGACTTTTAGCAATATACATTAAGAAAACAATTAAGAAAAATGCATTTATAGAGATCAAATATATGTGGGCCTAGAATTTAAACCTGCATTTAGAGAGAATATGTGTTTAGAGAACATGCATTTAAAGGGAGTTGACTGTATATGATATTTGGAAAATTCTTTAAAGATTATTTATAATCAGATTAATGCTTATATTAGAATTAGCATATGAGGTCTTTGCTTTAAAGATCACCTTATGATATTTTTCTGATTAGTTAATTCAGACAAAACAGACCAAAATATTAGTTGGTATTTATATATGAATCACATATTGACTTATTGATTCAATAGTTTATTCAATAAACTATTGAGTAAATAAAGGTCATGATTTACATATAAATACAAACTGATATTTTGGTCTGTTTTGTCCAAATTAGGCTGATCAGAAAATATCATCAAGTGTTTTCAAGACAAAGACCCCAGATTTGTAATAGTTATATCCTGGGCAGTTGGGTATAAGCGGGGCTGAAAGTCCCGCTTATACACATAGTGCCCAGGGTATAACTGATTTATGCCCTGCGATCTTGATATAGTGACCAGGGTATAAACTAATTTCTCCCACCACTTCTAATTGGCTGTACTAATTATTCAATTATTGGAGTATTTATACTAGTAATCAAAAAAATTTTCAAATAAAAATTCACGCTGTTAGACTAGAATTAATATTTTGGCATTATATTATAATTATAAAACATTTCTTATACCAAAATTTTACAAGGAAAATTTTTTATTAGTGCGTAGAAGACAGTTTCATATATTGAATTTAGAGTTATGGGCGATTTTTAATTTTTGCATTTTTTTTTTGCGTTTCTTTTACGTTATACCTGATCGTAAAATTGGATTGGCTTCGATAAATGAATAATTAGTACAGCCAATCAGAAGTGGTGGGTGAAATTAGAGCACTCCAAAGACCCCATATAGTAAAATTCCTTAAGAAAATTTTTTCATTAGAGCACAGAATGCAGATTATCATGTGACCAGGTCTTCTTTAAGTAAGTACGTACGTACTTTACTATTTGACGCTTATGTATATAATATTGATCATGCATCGATATTAATCAAAAGCATGACTCAATATTTGTGTAATCCATCAATTTATGATCATAATTCTCAAGTCATGATTTGCTAACTGAGTTTTAATTCGAATAAACATGATTACGACATAACATTCCAAAAAATAACAAAAAAAAATAAATCTATCATAAGAGTTTGCCGGATAACTGTCTAATACGTAATTCATATATTCGATCTTGATTGGTTAATCACGTATACACAATAAAATTTATTACAGTAACAAAAAATACATAATTATTACATAATATTTAATTTATTAAAATGCTTTATTACAATATAATATATTACAGCCCAATTAATATATGGGTGATGCTAAGAAAAAAAAACACATCGATTATATAAAATTTATATAACCAAAGTCCAATTTTTTTATAGCATCACCCATGTATGTATGAAATGCCCAATGTTAATTTAATACTAAATCTAGCGAGTCTAATAAAAAAAAAAAAAAAAAGACAAAACCCTAATGCATTCTTGATATTTCGCATAACTAAACTACAATCCTACCAAAAAAAAAGTAATATTCTCGACACCTTTTATAAAAAATCACACCAATTCATCATCTGAATTTAAAGAATATCTTAATTAGCATTGATGAATTCGATAACAGATAAACCAATATCCGATTCCATGTTTCACATAATATAAAAAAGAGAACAAATAGTAATGCGAATAAGATAAGCATCAAACAAAGAAGATAATAAAACTAAAATTTACTAAACGTTCCAGCAAAACATAAACGAACCTAAAAAAGAAAGAGAATATAAAATAAATAAATACATTTAACAAAAAAAAAACCCCTCCAAAACTTATCCAATTGCCATTCTTTGGATATATTCCAGCGAAACTTAAAGAAAAAAGAATAGAAAGTTAGTAAATATGCAAAAAAACAACAGAAAAAAAAAATAGAACTAAACTTACACAAAACCTGAGCCGAGTTCGATTTTGGTATCATTCAATGTTTAGGCGAAACCTAAAAAAGAGAAAAGATTAGTGAATATATAATAAATTAACCAAAAAAAAAATTTTGAAATTGAAACTTAACCAAGATAGAGTGTTCGGACTTATGCAATCAGGAATTTTTCATTGTTTAAACAATGAAAATTCTCTGGAATCGTATAAGCCTGGATACTCTAATCAAAACAAGTGCTGCTCCTAGTGCAGGTTCTATATTTCAGCAAGACCCAAGAGAATAAAAAAAGTTAATTAATATAGCAGAAAAAAAAAAAATGAAAAAAAAAAAATAGGATTAAGACTTACCCAAGACCTAAATCGAGTGCTACTTCTAGTGCCAATATCACATTTCGGCAAAACCTAAAAAGACAAGTTAGTGACTACAAGATAAAACAATAAACAGAAAACATACAAAAAGAAAAGGAAAGAACAGGAAATGGAATTAAAAATTCACCAAAGATCCAAGTGCCACTTCTGATGCCAATTTCACATTTTGGCAAAACCTAAAAAACAAATGAAAATAGCAGGAAAAAAAAAATAAAATAAATGACAAAACTTACCAAAGATCCAAGTCAAGTCTACTTGCCCGTATTTCACTTCCAACAGCTTTCAAATGAAGAAAAACAAAGGTTATCTCAAGTAATCAAAAAAAAAAAAAAAAAAAGCTGATACTATCCTGATGACTAGTCCTGGAACTATTCGTCTCTTTCAAAACTAAAAAAAAAGTTTCAGTAACTAAAAAGAAAAAAAAAGTTCTAAAGACCAGCTCCCATCCACAAACTAAAATTACTTAGCAAACCATTTTTGAAATACCTAACTTACCCGTTGTTAAAATCTCCAACCCACCCGCTGTTGAAATTTTTAACGCACCCACTGTTGAAGTTGCTGGTAAAATTAATTTCACCGAATTTCCCAATTCGATACCCAGTTCACCATTAGTGATGAAATTATCTCGCCACTAGTTTGAAGCTACCAACCCACCCGCTGTTGAGATTATTAACCCACCCGCTGTTGAAACTACTAACTACTACAGCGCTCTAAAACACGCAATTACACCAAAAATAAAAAAAAAGATTTAAAGAAAACAATAAAAAAAAAAAACCGAAAAAGGAAAAAAAGCCAAAGAACTACCTACTTACCATAATTAACCTAGCAATAAATAGTGACGACTCTGAACGGCTCAAACCACGATCAAAAAAAAAAAGAAATGTTACTTAAAAAAAAAATCTTAAAACGATCGAAAAAAATACTTATCGAAAAATAAGGCAAAATCTATAAAAGAAAGAAATGATACGTAGTTACGAAAAAAAATCTAGAATAGTTACCCAGTTTTTACATTAGCCAATCAGGCGAATGTTATATTGCCACATAAAATTTTTGATTTGTATTGTTGTTACACAAATATACAAATTTAGATACGTGGCGTTACAGACGGAAATACCATAACTACATTTTTGATATTTTTATTATAACTGCATCAAAAACGTAATTTCGGTCATCACAGAGCGTAGAAGTATGAGTCCGTTGCTTCGCTCCAGCCAATAAAATAATTATAAAAATGATTCAAAATATATTAATAATACAAAAAAAAAATATTCAACTCTTCCTGCTGATTCTTTGTATACAAAAATACAAAAACAAAACAACAACAGAAACACACAACCAGCTATAGAAAACAAGACTTGCAGCTCTAAGAAAAAAACAAGAAGACTAAAAATAATATCTAGTTTCTTAAGAGACTAAAGTAAATAAAGCAGAATTGGTAAAGATATAGAAGAAAAACTTAAAAATCATTGATAATTTTGCTCTTTGCAAGTTGTTTAGGGAATTGGCCTTGATTTGTAATGCAGATTAGTTGCTGTTATACAAAATATACAACATATAATAAAGAATAAATAAAGAAAACATATTAAAAAACATGTGATGAATGAAAATAAAGAAGATATACAAATACAACAATTAAATAGTCATGTGAAGCAAAAAGCAATAGAAAATGCTAAAACAAAATCTACAATAGCAGAACAAACAAAGGAACGAATAAAAACAATATATATAAAATTAAAACAATATAGAGCAGAAAGAATTAAAATACAGAACTTGCATTCAGAAAAAGAAATAATACAGCATATTAAGAGGCAGTACAATTAAAAATCGACCAAATAGAACACATCCTACTAGACAAAGTAACCAGTATCATAAAAAATCTATGTGTAACAGAAAGAGAAAAGCTGTTTGCATATAATAAAGAAAGAATAACCACTAAGTATACAAGAACTAGAATAAAGACAGAATAGATGAAAAAACCAGATATACAGAGAAAATGCTGACAAAAGCAGCATAACAAAATAATATTAGAACTATTAATATAATGCTTTAAAGAATCTGTAGAGTTAATAGAAATAAACCAACAAGTAAAAAAAAAGAAAATAGAATTAGAAAAAAAAAAAGATGATGCAAGTTCAACAAAAAGCAAAGCTTTTGAAACAAAGACAAAAGAAAGCTAAAGAAAAAGAAGAAATATTAAAAAAAATAATTATAGAAAAAGATATTGAAGGCTTTACAGAAAAGAAACTTTAGACAAATTAACCAAAGAATCAAAACCAAGAATTCTAACAATAACCTTAATAGAAGAAGAAAACTTCATTAATATACAATTAAAAAACTTACAAAGGAAATTACTAAAGTGGATAATAGAGTTTATATACCAAGTAAACTCAGAAAGTAGACAAGATAATATTAAAGATTGGAAAAAGAAGAAAAAGGAAATCTTAGAAAACTGGAGTAGATGAATTAAATTATTAACAAACATTAGCATAAATAAAGATAATATTATACAAGATGCAGCAACAGGGAGAATAATAGAAGTTAAGAATTGGAAAAGAATAAAGAAAGACACCAGGTTTAGAATAGCAAGAAG